TCAGGAAGTTCCACCATATCCAAATCTCTCTTAACCTGCGTGAACAGTTGCTCCTTGAATTCTGGTAAAAGTAGGAATGTTAGACCAAAACAAGCCATTTACATTAAGAAACTGAGATTGTAACAAATACATACCTTCAAACAAAATTTTAGGATATCGACTCAATGATTGGAACTGAGTCAATAAAGCAAACCGTCCACCGGTCAGGTATTTCACTGCATCTTCAGCAGTTTTTTGGTCAGTACCAGAATCTTTAAGTAATTTTACGGCTTCTTCATCTGAGATATCACCAACTTCTAAGGGAATAATTGCTCGCGACCAGGCAGAACGAGCTTTAAATAATAGGAATGAGATTTAGTAAGAACAACACAGTCATGTATAGCAGGATATTAAAATTATACCTTACATCGCATGAGTTGCAGGACCAAGCCTTCACTTGCGACAAATATAATGACAAATGCGTGTTTATCTGCGCAGTCCTTTGCAAAATCTTGGAGTATCCCAAGAAATTCTTGGTCCTTCTTAGCAATGCGGTCTACTTTGATCAAGAACCAAAACCATTGGGCGTTTATATTCTCGTCTGTAGCAAAAGGCAGTGTTGATAAGGTGCTCTTTCAAAAGATTCCAAGTAGGATATTCTGGATGTTCCTCTTGCTCTGCATGCCAAGTGAAGCCTTTATGAGTAAAAATGTGAAGTGAATTGCCATGAAAAGCATGAAAAGAACCAAATAGTACCTTTTCTTATTGCATTAGTAATCCACTGCATGATAATATCTCGAAGCTTCAACGGATATAACTTACAATCTAGGTGTCTTGTCAAATTGGTTACAAATGCCTTTGCATCTGTAGGACATTCAAAAAGGACAACACCCTATCAAAAAGAAACTGGATGTGAATAAACTGAAAAGGAAGAAAACATTGAATAAATTACCTTTGGCTCTTGGAGATTCAATATGGTTTTTCGAATCAAGTTGTCTTTCCTGTTCCATGTTCACCTACAATTAGACAGTAATTTCTCCTTGAAGAGGGTTGCAAGGTTGACTTCATTTCATTTTCGAGGGTCTCACGTTTGATCAGCATAGATTGATCAAAATCTTGCAAATCAATTTTTCCCTGATCAGTAATACAAAGGATGTATTCAAGAAGGGCTCCAGGGCTGTTGTGAGAGATAAAAATACAAGACTAATGCCCAGTGGTAGATAAAATTTTTTTCTTGGTTGACTAAAAAAAAAATAGTTAAAATAATTGGTAAAATATCTCAATGCACTTTCTTGGATGTGTCACTCACCATAGTCTTAAATGAGTTTCAATATTTTTTCAGTACTTTTTCCGCTTGTCTAATGAGAGCAAGGATGAGTGTTAAGGTTGTGGAATTACAATTAACTGGATTAATGTTTCTTACCTCGTGCCTTCCTTTTCTTGAGCACTAATATAGGATCGGATCATTATCAGTTGATGAGATCTGGTGATTTTAACATGAGAACGTTGGGAAAAGCAAATTGGCAACACAACAGAGCACGTGCGAGACAGGAAAGGATGAAATTTTTAATAAGTTCATGTTGAAGTGTTCAATCAACCTGTATCTATCTATCTGCATAATAATAATCAATCAGATGATCAACATTAATGGGCAACAAGATTTTTCCTTTTAGCATATATATATACCGTGCCTTTCCAATTTAGCATTAGAATAATAGCACAATAACATGAGTATCAAAAAAAAGTAATAGTTCTTTATTAATTCGAAAAAGTAATGAATGGGTTTATTATTTTGCTTAATATTAAGATTTCTCTCATTAATTGATCGAAAAAGCAATAGTTCTTGTTAATATTAAAATCTATCAGTGGACATATTTACAAAAAAGGCTTTGATTCTTTCGGAAAAATTTGCTGTGCCAAAATAGTTTGTTTTCCTTGGACGCTCGCTGTCTGTTTATTCATTTAATAGAAGTGTGGCGTGTTCGGGATCCTTTTATCCAAACACGTTTACTCCCGCGTTAGCTTTTTTTTATTTCACATGGCAGCAAGTACGTATTTATTATACGTCAAATAGTGGATTGGATTTTTGGAAGTAAAAAGAAAACAAACATGAACAATGATTCTCGAATAATTAATTATTTTTATAGTCGACAATACTATATAATAAATTATTAATCAATTCAATATTTTATTAGACAGAGCGCCATGTTTCTTTTCTTTTTTTAAGTAATTTGTTTATATATAATAATAATGTCTTCTTTCAAAAAAAACTTTTTTCATTCGATTTATATTTTTAAGTTAGTATTAGTATTAGGGCATTATCCCAAAATCGGTCACAAGTTTTGCTGTTTAAAGGAAGGAGCTTTTTTTATTTTTATCCAGATGGTTGTTGGTAATTTTAATATTAATCTCGGCAACAAAGGTTCAGTGATAAAGTGGACCAAAAAAATTCAGTAGTGTAGCAAACAAATTGATTTAATATATTGATTGACTAGTCCACTTTTCAAGTATTTTGACGATAATTTTTTTTATTATTAGCAAATTATTTAAAATTAATAGTAAATAATATTAAATAAATTAATTAAAGGGTAAAAAAAAGGAACGAAAATAAAAATAAAAAATTTACACCAATAATAAAAATTAATTAATTAATTAAAATGTAAAGGTGATTTGTAAATTCTTCAAATTTTTTTTTTTTTTGCAATGATTTACGCCTAAAAAAAAATTTATATTGATTATTAAAAAAGAAGGTAAAAAAGAGATAAAATAAAGAAATATGGGAACATCATAAATATTATGAATTATGATAATATAATAAAAAATATAAGCATGCCACTATTATTTTCTTTTATTTTTTTGTTTATTTTTCTATTATTCATTTTCAACAACCTTCATCTCTCTAATTTGTTAATGGAAATAAATTAATTTTAGTACCGAGATTTTTAAAGGAATATAATCTCTTAAATTTCCTTCTTGATTATAAGCACTATTACATAATTTCCATTTTCTGGGAATTTAGTTATACCATAACATTGAACAATTGAGTTTGATTTAATTTTACAATAATTCAATGCCAGAAATTAATTATATAAATAAATTAATTAATTTAAAATAAATGATTTAATCTAGTTTATTTTAAATAAGATCAATTACCTCATCAAAAAAAGGTTTTCCTGGATTACTTGAATTATTTAATGATTTTAATACAACATCCTGACTTCCAAAATAACTAAACTCCTTTTTATTTTCATTATAATCATCAATATATCCTCTTGTCCACCCAGCATTATAAATAGAACTGAATCCACCCTCTGTTAACTTTTCTACATCATAAAATTGTTCATAAGGTATCCATTCTATAATACACTGTGGAAGAGATGAAAGCTGTTGACATTTTTGAATAAAACCATCAATTATCTCATTTCCAGATGTCCAAGTACTGAAAAGGCTCTGTAAGTGTAGACTAATACACTTTTCACAATATTTATCAGAGTATCTTATTGTTTTACAATTATTGCATTCTCTTCGTTTGCCAGTTTTTTGAATGGCGTTTTTTAATTCGAAATTATAAATAAACCTTTCTCTACAATATTCCTTTTCATTTTCTGATAGTTCTTGGTTTCCTTTGACTAAATGGAAAAAATAACTTTTCCTATTTTCATTGTCAGAATTAGAATCATTTGGAAAAGCATAATGAGCAATAACATTCATTTCATTATGAATTTTATATACTAGTACTCTTCTGTCTGGTGTTAATAATCTAACGGACATTTTAACTTTTTAATATTTATTTTAAAAAAATTAATTTGTGTATTTTTTTGCAAATCAACATTATTTAGCCTTCAGGAGTACTGATTTGATAAGAATCTAAATTTTTGTTTTCGTATTCCTTTAACATATCAAAATCAATATTAAAGATGCTTAATTTTACCCAATTGTTTCTCTTGTCATAATTTTCACCTTCCTAATCTTGTGGGATATTAAGAATGAGCCAACGTACTTTAATGGATCATTCGGAATTTCCTTGCATGCAGCAGTATCTTGGATTTTTTTTACAATAAAAATATTGAATATAGTATAATAAAACAAAAAAAGTAAATCCAATTTTTCGGATTGAAAGTCCATTTTTTCCAGATTTCAAGTTCAGTTAAAACTTTATATTATCCATCCTTATCATACTCATTATTTTCAGTTCCCTTGATTTCGGACTTTAAATGATGAATTAATTTCAAAAACAAAGCAATCAATCACCCGCGAGACACAACAATACAATCAACTTCAAGACAAATTTGCATTTAAAATTTAACTTTGAGATAATTTTGACTTTTGATATCAATTATTAAAAGGTTGTGCGCTTTTAATCACTCGGTCCATCTTTGAGTTAATAAGTGTAGAGAGCACCATGATTCTGTTGGGCAGGTAATACAATAAATATCCTTTTATTTTATTTAAATATTCGTTCATTATTTACATAATGAATTTTATTCAACCCAACAAAAAAGGTATTTTTTTTTTATGATCATTAGTATTAGTATTAGATATTAAATGCAGTCGTCGCATCAATAAATAAATGCATTCTACTTTAATATTGTTTTTTTTTATTACACGCGACTATTATAAAATATTTAACAAAAAACAATAAATATAACAAATCGTCTGTCTTTCAAATTCCATCCTAAAAAATAGTTGAACTATTTTTTATTGTCAATATTAAAATGTCTATTATGTCATCATAGCATAGCAAATAAGCGATCACTAAATGATTAGCTTGAATTGGGTGAGATGAGAGCATGTTGAGTGTGATGATTAAATATCGGTTAGGTGGATTAGGTAGGATGTGATAAACGAATCAATAAATGTATGATGATGATGATGATGGATGAATGAATGGATGAATGAATGGATGAATGGATGAATTACTACTGGTTACATAAAAAGATTGATTATTATTATTGTTTTTTTTTTTTTTTTTGATTCAAATTTTCAGCAAATAACACTTTGTAAGTTAAGTCGGTCATAAGCTAATGTTGTTTTTTTGAATTATTTGCATTCAATTTTCTAACCAACACTTCATAAGTTAAGATGGTTAAGGCACTTGCAGGAACCGTTCTAAGTAAATTTGTCGACATTCCTTTATAAAAAGCCAAAAAACCTTCTTCTTGTTTTATCACTTTAACACTATCCCATAATCCTTTATATTTAAAAGGTTTGACAGTTTGATTTTGTAATCTTGTTCGAACAACTTCATGTGGATAAGTTACTAATGACGCTGTCATTTTTGAAATCGATGAGGCAAATAAAATCGATACGTTGGATATATATTCTTTGTCTGGTGATCCTTGAAAAATCAACAAACAAACAAACAAACAGATTAATTAAATACGCATTTAATTTTTCCAAAAATATAAAAATACTTACTAAGCCAAATTTTCATCTTTTCATATAAAGGAAATTGCACTGCCACATGAGTAACACCCAATAAAGAGGGGCCAAGACCTTTATAAAAGCCTTTCATCCCTTCGTGACGATATATTGTTGTGAAAGCATGTAATGTATTTCTATATTTGTAGGATGTTGATTGATTTTGTGTCTAATAATTATCATTAATAACAATAATTATTGATTAATCTTTTTCCTTCTCGCAAAATATCTAATTATATTATTTATCTTATATCTACCATAAATCTTGTTTTGATCACCCATAATGGATTAGTAACTATTGCGCTTGTTGCACCTGCACCCATAGCCGCAAATATATGCACTATCCAGTGATTATCAATATTGGTATTTTTTCCTAAATTAAAATATAGAATAGATGAATGAATCAAATAATTGTTATTAACCTTCTATTTTTAAATATCATCTTTCATATTAATTATGATAAATAAATATACAAGTATATAGTTAATTATAAATATAAATTATTATTATTTTTTTTTTTTTCAATCGATTGATAATATTTAAAGAACAAAATGATCTTTGCATACTTTTGTTGAAAATGTTATTATTTAAATCATTTAAGTGTTAATTAAAAAATGTAAATCTATTTATTGATTTTTCTCTATTCGTGTGCATATATGAGAATGTGCATGACTATGTAGATGTGATTGTATGTGTGATATGTGATATGTATATGTATGTAAATATGCAAATATAAATTTATTAATTAAATTTAAAGTTTTAATCTTCTTTTTTCCAAGAATTCCCCAAGAAATAAGCAATATATAAATATTAAATTTCTAAAAAGTAAAAATATAGAAAATCCACCTAAAATTAATCTCCCATATAATAATAAATTAAATTCAATCCGTTTTCTTCTCATTCGCTCTTCTATTCTTACCTGTACGCTCTATCAAAACTAATTTGAAATAATCATATGCAGTAAAATAAATTGCCCATGTTGGTAAATATCCATATAATGTAGGTCCAAGCCCACAATAAAGGCCTCTAATTCCTTCTTCTAGCCATATTCTTTTTAAAGTACCTGAATTAAATAAATAATAAATCGACAAGAAAAACGATGAGAATATATAAAATATATAACGTAAAATGTAAAGTGTGCAAAATATAAGGAAAGAATACCTCCAGTTCCACGGTATAGCGGTATTCTATTATTAACAGGAATTTTCCCTTGATTTTGTAACCTTGTCTTGACCACATCTAAAGGACAAGTAACCACAGAACTAACACAACCTGCAACGGCACCCGCTATAGAATGCTTAAGTTTATCATTTTCAGTTGGTAGAAAACTATTAAATTTTTTTGTGGAGGGCATGTATGAACTAAAAGAAAATTTCATTTTTTTTTTTTGAATAATAAATAAAACAATTCAATGTGGGAATTTTATTCATTTTTTGATGACAAAACAGCCAATCAAAACACCAAAAAAAGAAATAAAGTTAAAGATACACATGGAACACGTGGCTCAACAAATTCAGATTTCCCTGGTGGTACATAATTCTCTCGGTGTTCCGATTACGATTATTAATGTTAATACACAGTGTATAAGTATGGAAGGAAATCACAAAAGATAAAAATCATAAGAAGCGCCAATAATACCCTTAAAGAGGAAATACTTATAAAACAATGTTATTGAAACTAAGCAAGAACAGGAAGCTATAAAAATTTATTTGTCTTAACATTTCATTCTATATAATTAAACAATGAGTGTTGTTCTTAACTAGAATTAAAACATCTCATTTCAGTTTACCAACAAAACATCCTTTAAAGTGATTGTTGATGAGATGTCATCAGAAATACAACTCAATTAGATTTGATTAATCATTCATTAATTTGTTTGACTATACTGTATATATATAAAATTCAATTCTTTAATCAAGCAGATTCTCCATTTAATGTAAAGCTATAATTGACTAAATTAAATTATCCCGCTTTACATCATCTTCATCATTATTTATTACTGGTAAAACTTAGTAAGTCGGGTTTGGCTTAACTTGGACAAATTTTTATTCTATCTTTTGATGTCATGTCAGACAACATATTAATATAATTAAATATATTGATGTATTATTAATATTAATATCGAACAGCTCTCAATAAGCCGATCCACATGATTTTTGTAATACGTTGAGATCTTACGATTTTTAAATTTGAGATTAAGATTTAGAAAAAAAAATCGTATGACTAAATATTGTTGAAAATAGAAAAAAGGCGTTAATATTAGTATAAAACTTTCGACTTGAATGTTTGTAAATAAAAATTTTTATTTTTAGCTTTAACAATAAATATGATTTTTTGTTTTTATTTGTTACACGGGTAAACTCCTCTCAATCAATTATTTAAAGTATATACTTGATAATATAAATAATGACTGATTTATTGCGAGTATCTATTTTACTGAAATTGTTCTTTCACCTATTATTAAGATTTTCTGAATGATGTGATTTTTACAAAACAACAGCCACAATATATAATGATGAAAACAGAAGATTTGTCAGTAAAACCTCTATATAATGAACCTCGATTTAACAAAAGTTTTTTTCTCGTGCGATTTTTACCCCTTTATACCGAAATTTCATATGAATGCTCGCTATACCGTCTTACTCTTTTTTGTCGAAACATGTGGTCACAAAATGAATTCTTTGATGATTGGTGATTTATATAAGGACATTAAATAAAAAAAATTTTTAATTAAAATGAAAAGGAAGACAACTGTTCCAGATTAAGTAATAATTTATCAAATTATGATGAGTCAGAAATAGAATCAGAACCTTGTATTAGTTATGTTGAGGTTGCTAAATTTTGGAAACGATATTTTGTTTTTAGAGCAATAAGGTGATGGAGTTACAAATAAAGGTTTATAGGTTGTTTGTGGAATTCTTAGAAAACGTAAAAGTAAAGCATAGAATTCGATCCATATTTACTGATTATTTAATTGATTTTAAATCTATATTTTATAATTTTCTCTATAATGAAATTTGCTGATTCTTACTAATAAATTCGGTGTACGCGTAAACCGAAACCTTGCTATAACGAATTTGCTGATTCTTACTAATAAATTCAGTATACGTGTTACTCAACCCCATTATAACGAACATAAGTGTCCCAGATAAACGTTTAGTCATATAGAGGTTTTACTGTATGTAGTGTTAGTAATGGTGGTAGGATTTTCTAAAATATGCATATAGGGTTGGAACAATCAGTCCTGACCAATAAAAATCCCAAATATTTATCATGGAGTATATAGCAAATAATTTTTAGAGATGTTAATCGATCCTAAACAGCCCAGACCGGTCTTGGGGCGGCAGTCCTATATTGAGACCGGACCAGACTTAAATCCTGGAAAAAGCCCTTTGAAAAAAAGGTCCGTAAGCTTTTTTTTTTTAAACATAAAATGTTTGTAAAATTATTATTTAAGCTAAAAAAAAAAATTATTATTATATTATATGTGACATGCTGTAACAAAACCAGATGAAGTGAACATTTGTGTATATATATTACCAAGGATTCAGGGACCAAAATTTGTAGCATAATATAGAAATTTCTGCAGAGTAACCAAAGGATATCAATGACTTTGGGGTCCAAGTATTTTCCTCCTATGTAATTATTCTGGTGATTTTTAATATTTTTCTAAACAAACATTACTTTTTTTGTTGTTGTTTAACCCTTTCCTTGCGTGTGAACACCTTCATCTATATATGTTGTGTATTATATTCTTTATTATAAATAGTTTGAAGTTGTT